GGAAAAGTGAGCGATACGGGAACGAACTTGAAGTTTATTGACCACACGACTAAGAGGTCATATGGGCTAGCAGAGGATGTACTGGTGAGGATTGATAATTTTACCTACCCAGTTGATTTTGAGATCATGGATATTCCAGAAGATGAAGAGACTCCCGTCATACTTAGCTGACCATTTTTGCTTACTAGTCGGTGCAATGTTGATATTAAAACAGGTACTCTAACCTTGAAATATTTTGATGAGAAAATAACTTTAAAAGTGTTGGACATCAAGAAGAGAGGTAAAGAGGAAGACGATCACTCTGCAGTTGGAGTGACCCAAATAGCGGGAAAAGGCAAAAGTTCAAAACCACTTCCTGAAAAAGTCTCTGGTGTAATCTACCAGGTTCCAATATCTCAGTCGTCTAGGGCACATAGTGAGACTCCAAAATTCATTCGAGGAGTCAAGAATAGAAAAGTTGGATGTGATTTGATACACAAAGTTTCTCTTATATCTGAACCTGACCGGTCCTCTGTTGCGGAAAGGTCAAGCAACAAAGTGTGAAAGCTGAAATACCCCCATAACAAGGGGGAGTGAACCGTCGAGTCATGTGATGTTAAACAAAGCACTTCGTGGGAGGCAACCCACGTTTTTAATGATTGAGAATTTTCTTTTTGTTGTTTATTTTGTTTCATTTGTAGGTAATAAACGAAACCTTACATGTGCACGCTAGGATGTAGCAATTGGTGTTGCATTGCCCTCCGACTCCTCAGTAAGGGTCTCTGTGAGTTATGTCTATCTCTTGTTCTAAAATATTGAGGTCAATGTTTAGTTCAAGTTTGGGGGAGGATTTACTGTTTTGAGTTTTTGTTTGAAGTATTTTTTATTTGTGTTTTATTTAAAAACCGCTTTAAATTCTCCCCGAATGAGGACCGTAAATTTTTCTTATGAACACTGTGATGTGTGAGGTAGTTAGAAAGAATATAGAGTTGGAGGTACGAGGAGTTAGAACTAGGTACTTTGGGAAAGTTTGGAAGTTGAGGTATAACCTAAACACCCTAGATTCTACGGAGTAAGGAAACGAGTACAACGTGTAGATTTATGCTATAGTATTTGGATTTGAGAAGTATTCCCTGACTAGTTCATAGTGATAGTCCAAAATGATTAAAAATAATTACATGTATAAGGTTGATTAAGAGAATGACTTATGGCACAAAAAAAACACAAATATGAGGAATAATGGCGGTAAAAACAAGTGGTCCTTCTAAGTTGGGTAACCGTCACTCGGTTACTTAGCCTAACGGCGGCCGAGTCTCAATTGTCGTCCCTAAGTGGACTAATAAACGCCAATGCACGGGAAAAAAAGAATAAAGGTGCCTCGAAAAAGTCTCGATCAAATCTTGTACATGTGAGGGAAAATGATCAAAAGTGCCTTAATCTGATTTTCCGAATGAAATGGGTAGAAAATCGAAGAAAAGACTTAAACCCCAAAGCATAGTCGGAGAGGTAACCGAAAGGGGGATTTAGGTCCTTGGTTTTACCATGGTATGTGTTTGTGTAATATCTTCTTAAACAGATGATTACCAAGAAAACTAGTTTTAGTCGATCATTTGATATATACTGTTTGATATGAAAAATATTTATGCAAGCTTGTTGCTTGAGGTCAAGCAATGGTTTAAGTTTGGGAAAATTTGACCAGTGGTTTTTATGCATTATTTTACCGATAGTTTTAGTTAATCTTCTTATATGATTAGTTGCGTTTTATTTTTGTTTACCGCATTTTATGCTTTGGTTTTGTGTTTTCAATATTTTTTGGTTCAGGTAAGCAATCAGGAAGAATCAGAGGAAAAACCAGGAAAAATCGTAGGAATTCGGAAGAGTTTTTGGAAGAGAAACAGTGGCCTGACACAGCCACCCGTGTCACTTAACACAAGTTGTGTCAGGAGGAAACCTAGAGAAGTGATTTTGGTGATAGGCAGTGGGCTGACACGGGTGCTCGTATCACCTGACACGACCCGTGTCAGCAAGTCTAGGGCATGAAGAATTTTTATCAGAGAGCCAGGGGGCCAACACGGTTGCCTGTGTCAGCTGACACGACCCATGTTGGCTGCGTAGTGTCACCTTCTAATTTTCTTGGATTTTTGACATTTGTGATCCATGAGGGTATTCTGGGTATTTCTCTACTGCTGCGTTGGACCTGAGAGTATTTGGGATGCTTTTTATGAATGAAAAAGGGACTTCTGACCAGAGGAGAAGAATTTGACGATCAAGATTAAAGAGATAAAGGAGATTGGAGATCTGAAGGTTTTCATGAGCGAAAGCAATTGACGGTCGAAGGAATCCTATTATCTTGTAATGTCTGATTTTTATTTTGTATTTTCTCTGAACCATATGAGTAGCTAAACTCTCCAATACTAGGAGGTGTCCCTGAATTGCTTTTGGAATGATCATGATTTCTTTTGTTCAATGACATAAGTTCTTTTTCTTAATCATTTTTATCGTTTAATGTTCTTAAGGCATTTTCTGTCGGATAAATAGATTTTAATTTACAGTTAACCTTAGGTCGAACAAATCATTGTTAACGCTTTTTATACGATAATGCATAAGTAGATATTACCTAGGACTAGGAATACCCTGTCGCACTTGGAACACTGTTGATATTATAATGCTTGATTTCAAACGTAATTACCTATGAACATAATAATTAGGTTCAGACATCAAAGGTTTTCTCACAAAGGACTTAGGAGTAAACAATGAGCAGTCAAGAAATTGATTGTTTTAAGTTTTGTCTCTGAAATAAGGATTAAGGTTGTTACAAGGGAATTCATACATCATTCCTAGCATGCTTCTCATATCTGTCAGAAACCTATTTTACTCTTTTGCTTTATTTTCTCTCTGTAGTTTATTATTTGCAACTAAAATCCAAAACCTCAACTTTTTTTGTTCAATTGAATTATTATAAAGCTTGTATTTTCTACGCAGTCCTCGAGATCGATACTGGGGATAAAACCTCTATTTTAACTACAATCAACAAAAATAGTACACTTGCTATTTTTTTGATCAGTTACACATCAGAGCAGACGTCGACTCTAAAAATAAAAGGAAGACTCCATTTTCCACTACTTCAACGACTTTATTGCAGATTATTTATATGATGCATGTGTAAAGGAAACATTCAAACAAAAGAGTGAGATATCATAATTATATAAATGATAGCATGATAATAAGTAAGCATCAAATTATTACATGCGCAATCACCCATTTCACAACTCACATCCACACAATTAACACCATAATTTATCCAAACACAACAACAAATGCAATCATTATGCAATGCAATGAGACTCACGACTTGACTCAATGCATATAGTACCAATACGTGAACTCTCAGGTTCACCGCTTAAATCCTCACCACCTAGGACTAGAGTCCGCCAATTCTTTACCATCACCATCGATAACACTTCACTAATTCCACCACCTTCAAAATCAGCTACTTGCACCCAATCCCCGCCACCTAGGATTGAGGCTCACCAACAACAGACCATTGTCCAACACCATGAATGCATGCAACATGCAACATGCAACAACAACACCAAGCACAATGAACACCCCCTTCATAGTCAATGTACTCTGTTAATACTAACCATCATGCACCAACACATGCTATAACAGCTCAACAATATTAACATACAACATAGCAAGCAACAAAAATGCATTTCAGGTTATTCCACACCACAACATAAACACTATAATACATTTACATCTTCACGCAACAATTTATTCGTTTTCAAGTGCTAAAACTAATTTTAGAATAAAGTAGATTCTAAAAATGTTGAGAAATGAAGAAGTTATGGTGTTTGGACCAAGTGACATGCCATGCTTGATTTTAGGCCAACCAAACATGTGCCAACTTGAGGTTTCATGCCATTTCTTGCATCTAAAATCCTGATGATGAACATTAATTTGAACACCATATGAAGGAAACTTGCTTGTCTCTTCGAATAATCTTAGATGGTTGCTTAAAGATTGGATGAAGATGGTATGAAAATAAACATATGAACCATACTTGAATCATCTTCGAAATCATGCACCAAACTTGAACTTCTCTTGATCCAATGATGTTAAATGAAGTTTGACATGAATATGACCTAATATTATTGGCCATGCCTTGAGGTAAGAGCTTTTGTGAATCACTTGTTGACCAAAACCTTGCCTTTGGGAATCAAAATTCTGATTTAGAAATCAAGCTTGATCCATTGATTGCAAGTTCCTACCTTGTACAATAGAAAAGAGAAAACAACACATATTTTTGTATTTTGAATAAGGTTAGTGATGTTAGAATGTAAACAAGCAAAGCGATAACAAGAGAACACAAAAGGGTGCTTGGTGATCTCCCACAAAGGCAAACACTAAAGAGGTGGAGGCTAGGAGGACATCATGCATGTGATCTTGGCGAGATGCCAATGATATGATATGTGGAACCTTAAGAGTAAAAATTAGGGTATGACAAAATCAAATAACATAAAAGTTAAAAACTTGGATCTGTAACCGATTACACAAAACCTAATTTGAAGATATGTGATTACCCTAATTTGAACTTGTGTTTTCATATAAAATGTCATGTTAATCACACTATTAGATTATAACAAACTATTAAATTATAACAACTTGAACAATTAATTAATGCTAAGATTAATTTGATTTTAATTCTATAAGTAAATTTATTTTTTATCAATAATTACTATTTGATTAATTGAATAATAATTGCAATAAGAAATTTAAAATTTTCAATAATAGTAAAGTATTTTATGTAATTTAAAATTACAAATTTTTATACAAATCTTTATATATACATTAAAGTAATGCATGAATGTAAATTGATTTTGTGGTATATTCTTTTTCTTTTCTTTTCTTTTTTGGCAAAAAGGTGTACATTAAAATAATGCATGAATGTAATATGATTTTTTTGCTATAAAAAGGCTCATACCTACTGTTATTTCCAAACACCATTCACTTTCAAAATGGCTAGGGCAACTGGACTATTTCCACTCTTTTCCACCACCATGATAATCATGATCATCCTATTCTTGAGTAAGTTCAATTTATTTATATTCCTTCTTAATCATTGATCATTTGATTAGGGAGGGAAACTAGTAAAACAAACTTAATTTTTGTGAACAGGTTTGGAGAAAGCTATTGGTGAGGATGCTAAAATGGATACTGCTAAATATTTTACAAGAGGTGCTTGGGTGCCGCCGAATTGTCCAGTTTCTGAGATATTGAAACCATGTACTGACAACTTTATTGGAGCCTGTGTTCATGGAGTTGATGATGCTTGTTGCGACAGCATTTGCAAACACTCCGGCATTGATAAAGGAGGCTTTTGCAAACCTCTTCCTTACAAACAGCCACCACCACATGATTTCTGCCATTGCTATTGTTAGATTTGAATTTTGTATCAATGAATAAATTTTGCTACAAGCACTGCAATTATCTATTTACAGTGTTTTATTTAAATTATAGAATAACATATTTTAAAGTTGCATTGTCAACGTTTTTACATTTTATAGTTGATTTTGTGCTTAAAAAATGAGATCATGATATCATTTTAATAATTTTATTTTTATTTACTCATAGTGTGACAAATAATATTTTTCCATCAATTACAGATTATTTTATTTTGTGATTCGCAATACATTTATAATTTAAGTTACATAAATTGATTGAACATTGCAGAATAAAACTACAAGAAAATTAATTTATAGTGACAACAATAATCTGTAGATAAAGGAGTAAAAATCATGGATATAGCCCAAGAATCTTATTCGAACGAAAATGTTTCTCTGCCTTTTTTCATTTCCTATATAAACGGAAGTTTATGATCACCATAACCTAAAGAGATGATTTTTTTTTGTCAGTTGGGCAAAATACCTGTGTTATACCCTTGCTTGCTAAGTTATTATTTTTAACAACTAAGTTATTTATGTTTTTTTTTATTACAATTAGATCCTATTTGTTTTTAAATTGTAATAATTAAGTTTTTTAAATTTTGTCTGTTATATAAATTACGATTTTATTGTAATAAAATTGGTATAGAATCACAACAAATGTTACATGAAGGTGTCAAAAGTCATGTCTTACGACAAATGTTACATAAAGGTATCAAAAATCATGTCTTACGACACTAACATCAAAATTAACAATGATCACCACTTCCGAATTAAAATATACATCAACACTACAAAAATCAAAATTAACAACTGATCGTACCTGATCAGAGTGATCGCTGGGCTGTCACGCGTCTAAGTTGTCGAACTGTTGACTTGATGGTCAGAGGAGGGGGGGTGTACCTGAAACACACTCTGATGTCAAAGTAAGCGACGAGTAGAGTGATAACAAGTACAAAGAGAAGAGTGAGAAAATTAGGTTACCTGACCCTCTAGTAGAAGAGGGTATTTATAATGAGCCCCCAGCACAGGGCCAACGGTTACCATGCGTTGGACTGGGCGGCTAAACCCAACGTAGGTAACTGCTAGGGCTGACGTGGTGTCATGAAGACCGGCACGTGGTCTTCACCATAGTGTATCTGTTCCGTGCTATCCGGGAAGTGGAGGACCGAATCATTAGGACACGGATGGTTACTTGATGACGTGTCTCCGCGTAGGGGACACGTAGAAAACGTGGGGGATGCCAGAGGAGCTTCCTGAGATGGACAGGTTCTGCCCGACGTGGGGCAGAGGGAAAGCAAATCGGGCATATGCAACGATCCTGTCCAAAGGTCGTCGGTCCTTGCCCGACGGGAGAAGGTGCTTCGTCCGACAGGACTCTGCCCGACGGTGAGGTACCGTTGGACCTTCCAACCCGGTGGGGTTTGGGCCTGCTCGATTGTGGGATAAGCGTCAGTCCAGTCCAGAACAGTAGCCCCCCAAGTCGTTGCTCGCGGTCAAGCGAGCTATGACTTAAATAGCGAAGGGCGTCGGGCACGTCGCTCTATCGGGCAGGCTGTGGCTATATCGGCCAGGCGAGCCTACGACGTGGGGAAAGCCTGCGGCCGAGGCGGGGAACCTGAAAAGACACAGGGAAGGCGGAGGGTCGCCACATGTCTTCCTGTGGCGGCTACAGGCTAGGTACTTGAGTGCCTAACGGCGCTTCGTTTCCCGTGCTAGGGATATATATATGCGGACCCAGCTTGTCCTTTCGTTCATTCGTTTCTTTTGCTGCTGCTCGACATCCTGAGATATCTGCTCGATGCCTTCAATCTTTCTGTTCGACCTCCACAATCTCTCAGCCCGAAGCGACAGTTTTTTCTTCCACCGTATCACGTAAGTTCCTAGTTTTCCTCTGGTGTTTTTTAGTGTTTCCGGCGGTGTTTCTGGCGGCTCCGCTGGGGGTGCCGGAATAACCGTGGGCTTTTCCGGTGAATACGCTGAAGGGTCTTTAAAATTTAGGGTAGTGACTGACCATCCCCGACCCTTGCGATGAGTGGCCCGGGGAGGATTGTTAGGACTTTGAACGTCCCGATGGTAGTTGATAAATGCCCCGGGCACGAGTTGATGTGTGCGCCTAGGACAGAGAGGGTATTCCCTGGGCACCTCGGGGGGGGGGGGGGGGGGGGGAGGCTACCCCAAATCGTCTTCTAGACGTCTAGGCGACCAAGCCCTTTCACTTGAACTGCGGTGGAAGGGTGGATTTTATTTGGCTGTCGAATTCACCAAGTTCCTCACTTTTTAGGTAAAATGGCCGACCACGACGAAGAGGAGATGCAGTGGTACCTGTCCGAAGACGAAGAAGGTCGCCAGGACGAGGCCGTCGTAGATCCCCCAGAGAGACCGGTGGCGGAATGGGTCGTGGATGAGCCTCTAAACTATATGTTGAGGTTCTCCCTCGACGACTCCGACGCTTTCGCTGTGATCGAAGATAGGGTGGTCGGGTCTCCCCGTCGGTTTCGAGCCTGCCGGCTACAGGAGTTGGACCGTATATGCTCGTGGTACGACGAGGGCTGGTTCCCCATGTATGAGTTATCTTTCAAGGAGGTGGGGATGCGCATGCCGTCTCAACTCCATCCCAACTCTTTCGCCTTTCTTCGGGCCTTTGAAGTCGTCTGTAACTATCTCGAACTCGGGGCCACCATCTCGTTGTTCTATGGGAAGGTATTAACACCCTAAGTATATATAGTATCCTATAGGAACTTCTTGTTGAATTTGTGTTATTGTTAAATGGTTTTCTAATTGGGATTGACGGTGAGATGAGAAGAGAAATGTTTTTTTTATTGTTTTTGTGTTTGGCAAGACACAAAGTCTTATGCCTACGTACCAATAAAGGATCAAAACCTCGTAGTTCGGGGTATAAATTGAAAAGAGTTTGTTAAGGTGGATTTTAGTGAAGAAGAGACAAGTTTTCATCTCAAAGAGAATACTCATCTAAACCACCATAAACATGTGGAAGAGGGATCTTTGCTTCACGTTGAGAAAAGGGCTCCAACTTGGATATAGAATCAACAATTATGCCACATACCTCTCTCAAGTGGAAATGAATTGATATCTTTCTAAACAATGTTATGGGGTATGAGATTTATATCTAAACTAAGGATGACTAATATCTAATCTACTGAAAACAGTTTTAGATTGAAAAGCCAAAGTGGAAAAAGATTTGGATTGAAGTTTTTGTCTTTTAGTCTTTGCGAAAGAGTTTGAAAAAAAGTCAATGACCTAATATCAAGGTTTTTTATGAAAGTGATTTTGAGTTTGTGAAAGAGGAAACTCTAATTTGAGTTGTTTAGGTTGTAACATCATAGAGGAAACTTCCTAAGGGATAGCAAGTTAAAGGATAAGACATGTAAAATATGTACAAGGATGTAAACATGCATTTGCAAATGACAATAATGTCAACAATGAGTCCCTCCCTTATATTTAGGCAACATGGTAAACAAGTGTCACACCCTAATTTTTGACCTTAAGACCCCACCCCTTCATTTTTTCTATGTGTTTTCTTTTTACTTTGGTACGCATGTTTATTACAACTAACAAGGGTGTGTAGGTGCATTAAATTCAAATAGAGATGGCACTCACAATCCTATCCTTCCCGACATGGTCGTTTGAGTCTTATCCAGGTTATGCTTATGGTGATTGCATCATTAAGTAGCTTGTGACAGGTTCAAGAAGATATTCATATAGTTCATCAGATATTGAGCCCAAGTTTCTATCAAAATTCACGACAAGATTCACAAGCCATTTTGAATTCAAATTGTTGTATTAGGCCCCGAAGATCAAGAGGAAGTCTAGATCGATGTGTGAGGAGTTGGGTCTTGTTCTACCACAGGGAGTTCATCATATTTAGGCTCATCATAAAATCCATACTACTAAGTTGCCGCATACTACGCAAATGGGAATCTCATAAGAACCAGATTTATGGTGAACTTTTGTTTGATTGATGCATCAATACGTCTTATGGATAGTCATTTGGGTTTCATTGAGATAAGCTTTCTCTAGCGTTCAAAGGAATATTCCAAATGCTTGATTTTAAGACCCATCTTTATTTTCATCAAAAGTTTAAGGAGGCATTGCTCAGACTCTTAAAATTCAACAGAGATCTGAAGAAGCATTAATATCTTAAAACCTTTTGTGTATGCTACATCATAATTATTACAAGCAGAGTTTAATTCAAGAAATTGGAATAATATTCAAGACATAAACCCATCACGAAATTTGAAGAGTTATTGATTATTGAATCTTTGATCCAGTATTGATTATGTCTTTACTACACCACGAACAACGAGTCTATGTGAAAGGACCTGTTTCTCTCCCGAGGCTACGATTTAGTTCTATCATTTGTGAAGTGAAAGACGTCTGTTATCGTCCATCTACAAAGAAATAATTTAAATACATTGAACTTTTTTTTGGGAAGGTATAACATAGTCAAAGTTGTTCAATATACGAGGACATTGCATTTTGAGTGATAAAGGGGATTTTAAAGCAACTTTCTCTTTAAAATGTTGGAAGTACATTTTCAAGGTTCTAAAAAAGGCTAATGCTATCTTCAGGCACTTAAGCAAGATCAGCCTCCACACCTTCGAAGTTAGCTCCAGCAAAGTACCATTAATGGACATGAAGAGAAAGCTAGAAGAATTAAGGAAATAATTGAGATGGGCATAGCCGAACAGCCGTTGTGGCAAGTCGCTTTTGTTCTCTCTCGCATCGTTGTGTAACGGAGACACACAGTTATGGCACCAGTAATCGGACTTGAGATTCAAACCCTTGCTATTGGCTTCTCAATGGCTACCAATTCAAGAAATCCATCGGCCGCTCCAACCAGACATGGGAGCAATTCCTGCAATTCACAAATCTGTTCATGTCAGCCCTCACATGTATCAAGGCGGATCGATAAGCTAAAACGTAAACTTGTTAAAAGTCGGTACCATCTTAAGAACTGGGAGGCATTCAAATGC